TCAGTTGACAATACTGATGTGGGTCTATCCTGGAGGATCTATTCTTCATATGTCTATTATTTAGTCAAACCACACTGTCTTCATTGTTGTGCTTTATAGTAAGTCTTAAAATTAGGTAATGGATCCTCCAACTTTGTTCTTTTTCAGAATTGTTTTTCGCTTTTCAATTTCCTTTGCCTTTCCATATACATTTTAGAATCAGCTTGTCAATTTCTACTAAAAAGTTTCGATAGGGTTTTAATTATGATTCCATTGAATCTAGAGACCAAATTGGAAAACTGACATCTTCATATTGACTTCTCCATTCTGTGAACATGATGCACTTCTTCATGTAGTTCTATCTTCTTTAATGTTCAACAGCATTTTGTAATTCTCAGAATGCAAATACTGCACATATTTTGTTAGGATTATATCTAAGCACTTCAATTTCTGGTGCTATTATAAATGGTATGGATTTCTTTTCTTTTCTTTTTTTTTTTTTTAAGGGTTCAATGTTCAGTTTCCTTTAATGACCCCCATGTCCCTGAAGGGCAGGTACAGGCAGCTAGGCGATGATGACAAGAGATGTTTACTTGAAGATCTTGCCCTGATTGAAGGTTTTGCCCACATGCTGGAAGGCCCCCTCCCAGGAAAAGTACTCTTGAACCAGCGTCTGGGTCTCCTCGCTGCCAGGATCCAGTTTCCGCCACATATAGGACTCGTAGTCCACCTGCCAATCTGGACTCAGCGGAAAGGCAAGCTCCTGGCCTCGAAAGACCCAGACTCCATAAATGGAGCTGCTGTTGTTGGTTCCAAAGAGGATGACACTGGCAAAGGCATTCTTCCTCAGCTTGTCCAACCGTTGGAACATTCCAGTGATGAGGTTACAACTCATAAAGGTCTGAGTGAGCTCCTCAGGGAAGCGGTACTCAGCATACCACAGGGACCAGCCATCCTTATCGAAGTGCTCCCAGAAATACAGCAGTGCCACAGTGAGAGTGTCCTCATTGGAATACTTGCGCTTAAATTCGTCCAACACAAAGGTACTCTTGGGCAGGTGAGCAAAGGGGTCTTTGGCCTTTGGCTCAGCAGCCAGTGCCTGCTCACATTCATCCATTTCCTCTCAGGAGCAGGGGCAGCAGCCTTCTTCTCCTCTTTCCGCTCAGCCTGGGGCTTCTGCTTCTCTTCCCGAGAACCCTTCTCTTTCCGTGGGTGTCTTTTTTAGGTTGGCTCTCTGCAAACTTTTTAGCATCAAACTGGGCCATCTTCTCACAGAGTTTCACCTCCCCCAAGACAGCCGGGAACTGGGGCTGGTTAATGCAAGGTAAGGAACCAGCGGTTGGTATTGGGGAAGGCCTGGTGGAAAGAAGTCTCCAGGACCTGTTTATAGAGCCTCAACAGGGTGCAGACAACTGTGATGTCAGCCAGTGTCACACGTTCACCCACCAGAAAAGTCCTCGTCTTCAAATGAGTATCCAGGAGCCCCAAAATTCGCCTCACTTCCTCCTTTGCATTCTCTGTGGCCTGCTTGTTGTGTTGCATGATGCCCAAGGTAGGAAACACCCAGGTACTGGCTGGGGGCACTGTCGCTATCGCAAAGCTCACCCACTGCACCACCTGGGCTGCTGCCTCTGGAGTACTTCCCCGCAGTTCCTCATTGCTCACATAGTAGGCAATGGCATTGCTCTCAAACACACAGAATCCATCGTCACCCTCAAATGCTGGAAGCTTGCTGGCAGGAAATTTACGGAGAAATTCAGGGGTGTGGTTGGTTTGGCCAAAGTGGAAGTGGGGTGGTGCGGAGAGCACACAGACCTGAGCCCCACTGTACTGAGCAGCAATGAGAGCCTTGAAGGCCCTCCAGTTTTCAGGATATGTGTACAGAGTCCCGGCCACCATGGTGATTCCGCAGAGAAAGGCTGGTATGGATTTCTTAATTTAAAATTCCAATTATTCATTACAGATATATAGGGGAAAATGGCTTTCTTTATATTTTGTGACCCTGTTAAACTCACTTATTAGTTCTGAGAGCTCTTCTGGAGATCCTGTGGATTGTTCTGCAAAATCATATCCTCTGCAAATGTTTTTTTTTCTTACTTTCCAATCTGTATCCCTTTTATTTCGCTTTCTTATCTTCCTGCATTGTCTAAGACTCTCCATATGAAGTTAAAAGAATGTCAAGAGAGAGCATCATGGTTTCTGAAAGACTGAATATTCGGTCTTTCACCATTAAGTATAACATTAAGTATAATATTAGCTATAGGTTTTCAAAGATGCTCTTCATTAGGTTGAAAACATTCCCTTCTACGTCAGCTTTACTTTATTAACAGTTTTAATATCAATGTAAACACAGAAGACAGGACTAGTAAACTAGAGAACATGTCTCATGAAAGCATGCAAACTAGAGAGAGAAGTAAAGAATTAAAAATATCAAAATAAGCATAAGATACATATGCATTTAAAATTTTTTAAAAATTTTACATAAGTCTAAAAATCTAATACAAGTATAATTGGGAGTTCTACACAAACAAATAATGGGGCATAAGCACTGTTTAAAGAAAGACTGGCTACAGGTTTTCCAAAATTGATGGAAAATACCAACCTTCAAATTTAGGAAGCTCTGAAAACTCAACATAGAAATCAATCCAAGAATATGACATGTTAGGTATATAATTGTAAAATTACTAAATGCAAAGTTGAAGAGTAAATCTTAAATGCAACAGAGCAGATGAAAAATCCTCATATTACTTCAAAGACATAATAGCTTACTTTTCAAGACACAAAAGAAGCCAGAAGACAATGGAATAGTTTCTTTAAAATACCAAAGAAAATAACTACCAACCTAGAGTTTTATATCCAATAAAATTATCCCATAAAAATTAAAACCAAGATGTTTTCAAACAAAATCAGAATTCATAGCCAGGGGAATGTCAAGAAAGAAGTATTAAAGGCAGAAGGAAAATGACCCTAGAATCCATAGGGGAACATGGAAGTTAAGGAAAGAATGAAGAATAGAAAGACTATATAAATGACTAACATGAATAAACATTACTATATAAATAAAATTAATTTCTTGTGTTTTATGTATATAGCATTAAAATGCATGCCAAAAATATGCAAAAAAAGGGGGCAGGTTAAAAGAGGGTTAAATGTTTTAGGGCCCCATTATTTTTAGGGAGGTCAACAAAAAAATCATTTATCATGCATGCATGTTGAAATCTCTAGAGCCACCAATAACAGAAGAGTTAAAAATGAATAACAAGTTAATAAAAAAGAAAGTTATAAAAAATACTAATCCAAACAAAAGCCACATCAATCTACATAAAAATTCTAGATCTTAAGTCTTCAAAAACAACCCCTTGTGCTACTCATAAGATATGCACTTTAAATATAATGATTAAAAGATTAAAATGTATAACTCTCAGGTTATGTTTTAACAAGTAGTTAGAATTACCTGAAAAAGTCTTTGATGGCACCTTCTTTATTTTTTTGTTTTTTTGTTTTTTGATGTCACCTTCTGAAGCTGAATGTATATATACCCTATGTCTGGGAAATTCCAAATAGGAAGAGTACATACATACCCAAAGAAGAAGAATATAACAATACTCAAAGTATGCATAAAATGCTTATAGCACCTCTGCAATAGCCCAAACCAGAAACAACCCAAATGTCCATCAAAAAAGGAAGAATAAATCAACAGTAGTGTTTTCATATAACAAACACCATACAGCAGGCAAAAGTAAAGAATTATTGTTGATTATAAGATATGTGCAGTACGAAGAAGTCTGAATTGCAAAGTCAAAGTGAAACAAGTCAGACAAAGAAGCAGATATTGTAGGATGTCATTTATATAAAGATTAAAACACACAATACTAATCTTACTATTAAAAGTTAGATAATGTTTACCCTTGGAGTGGCAGTAGCTGAGAGGAAAGAAAAGCTTCTGCAGAGCTGGTAATATTTTATTTCTTGATTTGGGTAGACAGCTTACACAGGAGTGTGCTGATTATTATAATTCATAGAGTTGTTACTTATGATTTGTGCATTTTCTATATGTATATTGTGTTTTGAAAACAAGCTTAATTTTTAAAAAGGTTTTATTTGAGAGAGAGAGAGAGAGAGAGAGAGAGAGAGAGCGCACAAGCCAGGGAAGAGGCAGAGGAAAGAGGGAGAAGCTGGCTCCCCACTGAGCAGGGAGCCCAGTGGAGGGCTTGATCCCAGGACCTTGGGATCATGACCTCAGCCAAAGTCAGACACTTAACTGACTGAGCCACCTAGGTGCCAGAAAACAAGCTTAATTTAAAAACAGTTATACATATAGAAACTTAAAATTGTACAAACTCATGGAATGCCAAATAATCCAGTTATATGGTGAGGACCAAGCCTAGTTCCTAATACGACACTCATGATAAATGATTCAGTAGACTACTGAATGAAACAAACAAACAAGAAAATCAAACACAAAAAGAATACACTGCAATTATTCCCCAGCTGTCCTTCATATATATGTTTGTTTGTCTTACATCAGAAAATATTCTCACGCTGATGTTCTCTAATATTACACCTGGTAAACCTGATCTTTTCTTTTAAATATTTAATTAACATAAAAATAAGCTGAGAAGTTTATTTCAAAATAATTATTTCTCACCCCACTTTACCATTTAGAACAAAATCTATTTGTAGGAAATGGAAGTGTTTTATACCGGGCCACAAGAGTCTCCATACTTTGAAGGCTATGAAATAATTATCATAAAGTTACTACTTACTGACTATGAGATAATTATTAGTAATATTGTTTAGAGTTCAGATGATATCAAACATTTTGCATAACGACTCAGGCCAAGCCAGAAGTTAGAGATGTTGCCTTTAGCAAAACCACTGACTTCCATCATTTGGAGGTTGTATCTTTTTTCTTCTCTTCCCAGTGGTTAACTATTACAAGCTTTAAAAGCTTTAAGCATCTTGAGTGGTTTTCTTGCCCAATTAGAAAAGGCCTTCAAGAAAATATTTTAGAAACTAACATATAAATGTCTTTGATGAGCCTGATGTGATTTCAAGACATTTTTTACCCGGTCATGGATCTCATCGCAGTTTGAAGGTGAACACCAATCAGAATGGAATCTGTAGACATAAAAAACAAAGGTGACTTGTAGCCAGAGGGAGAGAAAAATAAATCCTTCCAAATGCCAGACACAGAAAGTCATTTTTTTTTTACCTATCCCCATGTGATAACATAGAAAGATGAAAATAGCATATTTTCTTAATTGACCAAGGATGAGAGGCAGATATAAAATCAGGCACTGATTCTCTGCAGACATATTAAGTCTTTGTAATAAGTGCAATAAGTGGTCTTAATAAAGTTTGATGTGAATTAGGGAGAGCATACCTATATATATCTGACCACTTTAATGATCTCCTTACATAATTTGTTAGAGCTTTAGCTCCAAATAAAGATACAGATGCTCATGGGCAGCCCCAGTGGTGCAGCGGTTTGGCGCCGCCTGCAGCCTGGGGTGTGATCCTGGAGACCCGGGATCGAGTCCCACATCGCGCTCCCTGCATGGAGCCCGCTTCTCCCTCTGTCTGTGTCTCTGCCTCTCTCTCTGTGTGTCTATGAATAAATAAATAAAATCTTTAAAAAAATATACAGATGCTCAGATTAGAACAATTCCATGTATAGTGCCTTTAAAATTAGTTTTTATTTTCCAATAATTTCATCATACTGTCTTAAATTATGTAGAAGTAATTCCTTTCTGTATACAGAAAAATAAAACTAATTTTATGAAATGAAACAAAATGTTTAAATAGATGAAAATATTATTTAGAATCCAATTATGTTCTTACTCCCTCAGAATACATAAGAACATAAAAATTGAATGATCCCCCCTCAGCATAGATAACACTTCTCTAGTCTCTCCTGTTAAGTGTGTTTTTTAAGTGAATATTGAAAAACAGGAAAATGTGACTTTTATTAAAACCTGAGTTTGGAAATAGAGAAGAAATAAAGCAACCGTTCTTCTTTCTTATGCCTTTTCCAAACTCAAAATTGGCATTAGTATAACTAAGCTACTTTATCAATCTTATAAGTAATAATGAAAATCTCCAGGTCCATCTGATTATAATTCATCATATCAAGTATTATTGATATAATTCCTTCATAAAGGAATGGATACTAAAATGTTAACTGCTTACACTTTGCCTGTTTTCTCCCAGCTTGTGATGGCAAAGTTATAATTTTATATGTTTACTCAAAATATAAACTCTTAATCAGGAAAAATGATTTACATTACCTGTTTCTTAAAGAACACAGTCAATAATGGATGATCAGCTATATCTAAATTTTAATCTCCTACATTTGTAAAAGGAAATATTACTGGATCTACACAAATACATTGTCCAATTTTGTTATTTGCCTATGTAGGTAACATATCTTGAAAACCTGAGATCCAAATATGCAGTTCCAAGAGGATCTCTTCCGTGTACTATGAGAGGATCCACTAGTCTGTGCTGTGGTATAAGAAATGATTGCCCAACGATCTTTAACTTCATTTACAAAATTCGAAACCGTAAGCATGATTAAAAGGAATATCAGCTACTTTTTAATTAGATTTGCTAGTATTTCTTAGTCTGATTTTAGTAATAATTCTACAGCCTAATACATATAAGTCATAATATTAATATTTATTTTTGGAGGACAAAACTGTTTCTGAAATGGAACATTTATAATAAAAATTGCAACTGTTTTATGTGTGTTAACTCCATTGAGTTAAATGGGCTTAAAGCAAAAAGCACCTTCACTATAAATAAAGAAATTCATTTGCTTACAGTCACTAACAGACTTTTTGAAAGCTTGTTTATTCACATTCGTGATTAAGGAGTCAACATTTTATAATAATCCTAGAGGAAAACTTATTTTATCTTAATGACTATTTACCCAGTTTAACTCCTATAGCTGTATATCTTGTCATAGTCCCAATTTTGCCGGGGACATACAATCTACATTTCCATCATTTCAAATTGCTTACTGATTCCACTGGATTTTATAAATACCCTCTAAGTATACTGCTCACTAACCTGTATTATATTTAAAGGTGTAGTACTGAGTGTGTTCAAAAGGATGAAATGTTTCTGTTCCTGGTGATATGTCCTATAGACACTTTATTTTCCTTTATAACTAAATCAAAATCTTTTTTAGAACATACATTCAAAGTAGAGGTGTTCTACCCTAGTGAATGTAAAAAAATTTATCTGCCCTAAAAAGTACCTCAATAAAAGTTTATTAATTCCTTTAGATGAATTTAAATTCTTTTATTTTAAAAGTACCTCAACCTTCCTCAAGTGATAGGTGATAATGTTTAATATTAGAGCTACTTGTTTCCTTCTAGAAAAGAACTTACTACATCTACTATCAAGCATCAGAATAAATGTGCAAATGCCACTGACTACTTCTAGTAGTCATATAGTCCACCTGCACTGGAATATGAAAAAGAGACAGCTGACTTTAGCTAACCTCAGTGAAGAACTTTTGAGTATAGCCTCAGTGAAGAATTTAGCAACTTGGGAAGACAGACTTCAAAAGCTGGGACAAAATTACAGACAAGGATAAAATAACGTGGAACTAAAATTCATACTGTATTACAGTGGTAGACAACTGGAGAGCTCTGTGAAATATGTGAAAAGGCAGAAAAATAAAACAATATTTATAAAAACATATCCAAGGAGATACAGGTGAAAAATTTGTTGAAAACCTACTGAGATGGCAAAGAACCTAATGAACAAAACCACAAGTGCTTAATTCTAAACCTAAGTAAAAAAAGAGGAGCACTGACTACATGCCTGAACATCTGAGCAGACACAGTAACTAAAGAAAGTCCCCTGACAACTGAGACACAAGTTACTGGGCCTCAGCAGAAAAAAATCTCTTCAAAAGTTTCTCTTGAACTTTAAAGCCTATAGAAACATAGATATGTATCTCTCTCTACAAATACATAGGTCTATCTTCTAATCTACCTGTCTATCTATGAACTCCATGACCCCAAAGGCAGGATTCTAATGAATCTAGAAGCCACATGAATCAAAATTCCCTATGTCAGGATTAGGGTCTCCAGCAGACCTTCATACGTCCTTGTGGAGACTTACAGGGCTAATTTGGAAACACAAATCTATCTGTTCAGAATAGGGATGTTTTAATACAGCTTCCAAATGGATAACTCTTGCTCAAATCATCGGTTTTGAGATGAACTTTTTGATAGACAGTTTGTTTAAATTTTGTCAGTGATGTCTGATAGTTATAATAAGCTATACAAATTTAGTATGTTCCTTTAGCTTTTTGATACCATCTGTAAATATAGATTTTATTTCCATGCTCTTGATGGCATGCCTCTTAGGTGTTCAAATTTCCATATAATTTTTAAACTACCTAGGGTGAGGTTTGTTTATTTTTTTAATCTATGGCAACTCTGTTTTCTATATTATTTTTTTTATTATTTTTTAATTTTTATTTATTTATGATAGTCACAGAGAGAGAGAGAGGCAGAGACACAGGCAGAGGGAGAAGCAGGCTCCATGCACCGGGAGCCTGATGTGGGATTCGATCCGGGGTCTCCAGGATCGCGCCCTGGGCCAAAGGCAGGCGCCAAACCGCTGCGCCACCCAGGGATCCCTGTTTTCTATATTATTATTAGTGAGTGAGGCAATGAATTTCCAATTTGAATTTAACAACAAAAACAGATAAAGAGGTATTATTTTCTTCACACTCAAATTATTACAAGTGTCTAGCTTTGGTTGCCAAAGCTTTTCTTAGAGGGAGGGCTGGAATCTTTACATGGTTAAGATTCTCCTGGGGAATTAGGGAGAAGTTATGTGACGTACCATATACCAACAATATACAGCATCATCATTACCACTAAAAGGAGAGTATAATCTGTGCTATTTTTATATATAAGCCATATCCATAATGTTAAATGCCTCTGAATCTATTGAAAACAACCATCATGTACTATTTTTCACTTTTAGGAACTACAGTATTTAGGGTTAAAGTGACTCTAATTATTAATAAACTTGCTAATAGTAAGCTTCCTTCAAGAGGACTGGGCTGGGGAGGAGTATCTAGTACTATGTGATATGTAATATATTCTAAACAAAAAGTAAGCCTTTTAAAATCAAATTATACTTGCAGGAATAAACATTTTACATACATAATTGCTGCCTTGTCTTTTCTAATGATGATTATTCAAAATATCAGTACAGAAAGAGAGACTAAGCATTACCTTTCCCTGAGAGAAGCTCTATTTAACACAGGGCTTGGAGAATGCTTCGGCATTGTTGAAGGTGCTGAATGGACTAGTAAGGTCCTTGCTGAATGCTGGGGCTTGCTACATGACCTTGAGCTTAAGTACTCATCACATCTTTCCAAAGAGTCATCAAAGTCTCTCCCATGGGGTGTCCTGATAACCTGTTCAAAAAATTTGAATTTGTATACAAATTTTATTTGTATACACATAATAAATGTGATACTATCATACATACACGCAACCTTAGAACCTTTGTGAGAATTAAAAAAAAACAACTATAATGCCACAACCATATTTGAAGGTAAGTTTCAGAATGTAGTGGTCATCATTATCACTGTAAAAGTAAATATTAGATACATCTGGTTATTCATTCCACTTGTCTAAAATTTATAAAACTTTATCAATTCCAAGAGCTTTTGAGCAGTGGTGGGGTAAAGGTAGGGGTGTATATATAAAACAAAGGACAGGGACGCCTGGGTGGCTCAGTGGTTGAGCGTCTCAACCACTGAGTGGTTGAGGATCCCTGCAGACCCAGGATCAAGTCCCACGTCGGGCTCCCTGCATGGAACCTGCTTCTCCCCATGTCTCTACCTCTCTCTGTGTGTCTCTCATGAATAAATAAATAAAATCTTTTTAAAAATAAAATAAATAAAACACAGGACAATACAAAGAAACTAATGATAGTCTAATTTAGGTATGAGGGCAATCAGAACAGAATTCTATCCTTATACTCATTCATTGACTCATTTGTTCTGGAGACAAAATGAATAAATCAGGATAGAAAAATTAATTAATTCCTACCCTTATTATGGGGACCTTAGATCCTAGTATAATTTACATTCTACTAAGGAAAAAGAGTTTTAAAAACACACACATACCAAGTAAATAGGTAAAATATATAGTTTGTCTAAGGATGGTAAATACCATGATAAGAAAATAGAGCAGAGAGGAGATAAGAAGTACTGATGGGTGATATAGGAGGGGTATGGAGGGAAGGAGCTGCTATTTTAAGTAGGTTAATCAATGGAGACCTGACAGAGAAAAAGAAAGTCTTAGACCTAAGGAGTAAAGGCCTAAAGACCTTAGTAAAGACCACAAGACCTAAGTCATGGGGACATCTGTAGGAAGATCATTCCAGAAAGAAAGAAAAATAAAAGTAAAGATCTTGTGGGGTGGGGTGGAGAGTAGAGCATGGCCTGGTATATTAGAAAAAGCAAGGAAGCCAACAGGGGTGAACTAAATAGTAAGTGAAGTTAAAAAGGTAGATTTGAAGGATAAGGCTTCTATGCTGTGACTATTTTTTTAAAGGAGAATTTCCTGACTACTACATTAAGAACGGTCTATAGAGGGGCCAAAGGCAGAAACAGGGAAATCAGCTAGGAAATGGTTATAATAGAATATGGAAAAGGATGCTGGATTAGATCAGAGTGATATCAATGGAGATGAAAAGTGATCAGATCCAAAAGGCAACTGAAATATAGAGCCAACAGGATTTGCTGATGGACTAGAGTCAAACATAACACCAATATTTTGGTCTAATCAACCTAAAGAGCTGAGTTTATAAGTAGCCTTCCAACTGGGGGAGACAGAAGAGTAAATATTAGGAGTCTGTTTTTAGACATGTTGAGCTTCACATATCTATCAATTTATTAACCACCCAGCATATTAGAATAGAATTCAGGAGAAGAGTCCAGCATAAAGATACAAATGGTATTTAAAGACAGGGCACTGGGTGATATCACCAAGGGAGTGAACATAAATAGAAATAAGAAAGTATCTGTAGACAAAGGCCTGGGGAATATCTATCCAGAAGATGAGACGGAAACATCAGATTAAGGAGTGGTCAGGGAAGAAGCGGAAGAAACAGGAAGATGTATCATCAAATGAAGAGTGTTATTTCAAGTAAGAGGAGTAACTAAGTTAAATACTGCTGATAAATCAAATTAGAAACAACTGGGAATGGACCTTTATATTTTAGCATTTGGAAGGTCATCAGTAATATCAACAAGAGTAGCACTGATGAGGTGATGGAGTGATAATCTGGAGTTGAGTTCAAGAGAGAATGAGAGAGAGGAACTGCATTCATTTAATAAATACTTAATCTCCAGTCACTGTTGTAAGTGTTGGGACTATGACAATGAACATAACACAGTCCCTGCCTTTATAAGCCAGTGTTCTAGCAGTATTATTTCGTAAATATTTGAACTTTACGGTGGTCAATTTAATCTTTAGGAAAGCCACCTAATCTTTCTCAGACTCATTTCCCTCATAAGTAAAATACAGTTACTCTATCTTATAGATCTTCCATAATTTAAAGTATTTAGTAGAACATCTAGATTGTATGAATTAAACAATAAATGTAAGTCATTTATTATTAAATAATAAATAAAAAGCACAACTTTTTGCTTCGACCCTACCACAATTTTCATTACTTTCCAGAATTACAGCAACATATGAGTCAGCTGAGAGAATCAAGCTTTCATCCCAGAACCAAATAGCACATGATTCAAATGGCTCAGTTACAGTCCCCCAAAATATGATCAAGAAATATGTGATCTATACTGAATAAAAAATTGAAAATTTTTCCACTATTAGCTGTTCACAGAGAAAGTAAGAGCATAGTCAATGTCAAGAACAAGATCAAAGAGGTCCATGGTCAACAAATACAAGGGTATATATATAGAAGAGACTTACAGGAACAAAAAGAACCTGCCATAATGCTGTTTATAGAGTTATATCAAATATGAACCCCCTTGGCTTATGCTAGAGAGACTATTTTCTCTTCATTAATATCCTTTCCTTTTCTTTTTTTTTTAAGATTTTATTTATTTATTGGAGAGAGAGTGAGAGCACACATGTGCACAAGCAGGGGGAGGGGCAGAAGGAGTGAGAGAAGCAGGCTCTCCACTAAGCAGGGGGCCTGATGAAGGACTTGATCCCAGGACTTGATCCCAAGCCCTGAGCCAAAGGTGGATGCCCAACTGACTGAGCCACCCAGGCACCCTTCTTTGTTAATTTCAACATCATCTGAGTCATGATGGCTAGGAGGGTCACTTCATTTTTTACTAAATTTTCTCCCCGAACTAGTCAGCAATATTTTAAATACAGCCTATTTCTCTATTAATCGGAATATTCACTGAGAATCTCTTGAACCACATGTTAGCTAATACTCAGGTCTAGAGAGGTACAGGGATTTGAATGCACAATCCAGATGAAATGCGGCATAAACACAAAGAAAACGGACGGTGAGATATGCTGTGTCAAATACATCTTAATGACAATAACGCAGAGGGCTATTCAACAATTTTCGTCTGAATGGTGGAAGTCTCATGGAGGAGGTGGGATTGGAATCAAAGCCATATGCACAGCAAAGAAAGAGAAAGGGCATTCAGAATAAGGGAAAAGGTGCAAGAAAAGATGAACACTGCACATGGTAACATGGTTATCTCTACAGGAAAGCAATAGGAGAGAATATTTTAGGGGTGGAAAGGGGCACATTATAGAGAACTTTCAATGCTGTAACTCGATACTACTCAACATTTATTAAGCATATTTTATGTATGAAATACTGAATAAGGTAGAAGACAATAGCAATGACAGATAAATGTAATAGAAGACCTGAAAGAAGTTACAATCCATGATGGCAGACATTAAAAACAAGTAGTGATAAAACAAAAAGGAAGGAAATTAGAACTAAATAGAACTGTGCAACAGGAAAATAGCTAGGATGTGTTCTTTCTGGAATCAGAGTATTTGTATTGTAATGTTTTATATCTACATGGAGGACTGAAAGGTATAATGAGGGGGTGAGTCTTTACTAAGAATCCATTTCAAACTTGCAGTCTTAACCCTTAGCTTAAGAAACATTTCCATAGCTCTGATGAGTTTTCCATAGGTTATTCAGAAACCAAATGGCTCATTACAGAAGAGTTCCATTTTTTGGTTGATTCCTCAAGGACAGTGGCTTACCGTCCAGAAACCTGGGCTCAAATCCCTGCCTGACCAGGTCATTTCCTCTCTAAGCTTTCATTTCCTTATTTATAAACTGAGCAAATAATCTAAGAGAGAGAGAGAGAGAGAGAGAGAAAGCAGATACTGGTAACTAAGAGCAGTTTCTCAGTTTTGCCAAGAACATTCCTTAGTGAATCCTATTTCAGGTAAGTAATCAATTCCTATCTTATCTAGTTTAAAAATCCATATGCTCAGGGGCATCTGGGTGGCTCAGTGGTTGAGCGTCTGCCTTTGGCTCAGGGCATGATCCCCGGGTCCTTGGTTCTGAGCCTGCTTCTCCCTCTGCCTATATCTCTGACTTTGTTTGTGTGTCTCTCATGAATAAATAAATAAAATCTTTAAAAAAAGAAATCCATACGCTCACCTACCTGGTTTGGTTTTAGAAAGACGTACTTTTCTTTACACTGGAGAAGAATTTAGAAGAAATGCCAAAATAATGCAATAAAAATGCTAATTCCTAAATAGACCAATCCTTATGTGTATGTGAGGGAGAGAGTGTTTAAACTTTGACCACTGTACTATGCATTTATAGAAATAACTTGTTTAATCCCCACAACATTCTGATGGGGTATTTTTATTCTCTGTACTTCATAGCATAGGAACCTGAAGCAAAGTTGAACAGCTACTAAGTAAGGGGTCTCAGGCCAGTGACATATGAGAGATCTAGGGCAGATCTTCCAAGTAGAAAACTCCTAGAGCCAAAGTCCCTCAATATGCCTCAGAGGAAAGTCTCACAGAAGACAGTCTCACAATCTGATTTACTAACAACCCAAAATACAGAGCTCAGGAACAAACTGACAAACTGTTCTCAAAGAAGAAGGAAGACATTTCCAATTAATTTTATGATCATAATAATGCTACCAAACTACTCATGGATAGTAGAAGGCTTATTACAGACCATCCTCACTAGAAACCATATATGGAAAAAATGTCAGATAAAAATATGAAAAAATTAAATTTAGTAACATTAAAAAAAATAATATGACCAAGTTGGGTTTATTCAAAGAATACAAAGATAGGTTTGCATTAGAAAACCTATTAACCAACTAACAGATGCTGAAAAAAAAGGCATTTGATAATATTCACATCCATTCATAACTTTAAAAATATTCTTTACAAATAGGGAATTGCAAAAGGAACTTTGTTAATT